ATAAAGAGTTTTTCAAAAAAGGTACGTGAAAACTAGCTTCAGCAGACAGCTAGGTTGCTAAACGCAACTTAAAAGGACTGAAGCACGTAGGCATCAGTAACAGCATTTTTGTGCTGCACGTGTGTAAGCTCGTTGGTAAAGCACATCTGATAAAATCAGCCTACTCTACAGACTGCAGTTTTGAGTTGTAGACACAGGACTGATTCAGTCGGCTGCACGCTGCAAAGTAACTGCGACCCAAATTACCGCCTCCTACACTGGTCAGTTAATTTGTACCCTCACCAGGCTGCTGGAAGCCTGCGTTGGCTGTATCCATTCAGTTGCGTTGTCATGTGGGATGACGTTTCGGACGAATTAGTCCCCGGACTACGCACAGTCAACCTCTGGGCCACCTTACTTAGCGAAATAGGAGGGGGGAAATCAATCGGCCGTGTTGCCGTGCTAGAAACAGGATTGCAAAAATGTTTTAAGTGACGAATACACATAATCGAGCAATCGATCTCAGCGGAAGGGAGATTTTTTGTTAATGGCAAATTACATTTTTTTCATTACTGGTAAAGATTTGATTATAGAAGTGCAATAGAGTCTCAGTTTTGCTCTTTGACGGATTCAAGTGGAGAGCACACTCGATTTCAGCACCGCATTGGCCCAGCCGAAAGACGCGAATTGGACACTCATATGAGGGTTTGCCCGATTTTAACGGAAGCAACGACCTTGATATATAGGAAATATGCGTCGCCCATTTTTGGTTTGATCGGGTTTTTTTTTCAAATCTGACACCGGAAACGCACAGTTCTGCGACGGAGCTCACGGGTGCCACGATCACGATGATTTGTCAAATTTGGACGTCGACCCATTTCAAAGCCAAAAAGGTACGTGTGTGTAAGAGGAACAACTTGATCGATAAATCTACCCCGCACCTTCCGAGGCCTGCATTTCAAGTCGTATAATGGCTAATCTGAACAAATATTAGAGGTTTCAGTGGCATAACGACATCTAGCCCAATTGGCTGGCGATAAGTCAGGTTGGTGGAGCAAAAGCAGTCGAAACTACGCAAAATACAGTGCGCCGCCGATAATAATGACGTCACTGAGAGGCACTGTGGGGTCAGGAATCTATCAGGTTCTCTTGTTTTCTCAAACCGCTACATATAGCTGGGAGCTTTCGGCTATTTAAGTTCTAACCTCAAGAGAGTTAGTGTTGCGGTTGTAAACGCAAGTAGTTACGGTGATGTCGCCTGGATAGGCGAGCAGATTTTTGTTTACTGAATTTGCACTCGTATTTCTTGGTATACAATGAGTGAAAGGCATCTGTCACATTCGTAGAAAAACAACTTGAGGCGAGGACAAGCTTTTTACAACTAAAATCGAACAGCTGAAGCTAGGCGCGTATCTCAAAATACGACAAAGGTAGACAATCAAAAGGAGAGTGGGCAGTTTCCTCGCAAAATGTATGTGTGACAGCCACACTCACATTTAAATTTAGGATCGTCTTTAATGAGATGCGCCTGAGTCGTAAGAGGTCTCTCTGATATCCGCTGAGTGAATAAGCTCTTAAGTACAACGGTGCCTGTTCATGAAAGTACATGGTTCATGTACTGTAGCAATTTTAACGACTGGTAATGCATGTTCAGGCCGACTAGCATGGTATTTATGAAGTTCATTATGACAACTCTAAGAGGACGTTCGTATGCTAATCTTCGATAGAAAAATTAGTTTCTCAGACGGACAATTTGTACATTTTGTGGGGTAAATCTACCTCCAATTGATGAATGCGTAGGAAAATATATTTTTGTTAAATGGCTTTTGCAAGGTCAACTAAGAGCTAATTCATGCCTAATTACATAAGCTGAATAATGTTTTAAAAAATGATTATGCCCACAAAACATGACTGCGTTGGAAAACGCACCTCACAAACTTCTAGTTGCAATCGCCGCCGTTCTTTCTCAAGATCTGCGGCCATCTCTGCTGTAAAAACATCCGGCATGTAGATTCCCGACTCCTTCATAGCCTGAATTTTTTCTTTGCGAAGTTTTTCGCTAAAATGATCATAAGAACGCTTGCATTGCATGCAATGGAACTAATAAATTTGCTACTGCACAATAAATAAAAAATTTGGAAATTTTTGCGATAAAATTCAAGGCACAGGCGCACGCATATACTCATACATTCCGAGTGCATATACAATGTCCTCAAACATAAAGGAAATCTCCGTGCACGAGGTTCGATGTATGTCAACTGTATGGTGTGCCATCAATTTGTTTTTAGAAGCCATCTTTTGGTATGTTTTTTTAAATTAAGATATTTCATGATTTAACAGATCTTGTGGTGGTGGGAAACACACGTAAAAAACTTTCTATATCCGATTATGACGAAAGCGGCTAAAATTTCAAGGGCAATATGTTAGGAGGAACAGCTATTTAGCTACATATGTATAAGTTTAAAAAGCATTACTTAGCGCTA